TGCCTTTCACCTCAATTTCCCCACCCCCCACTTGGCACCTACCTGCAGCAGGGAAACTCACATAGCCTTCCTCAACCTCAACCTCTTAATTTAAAGGGATTGCAACATTTAAAGCCTGGAGACTGGGTTTTACTTAGAAGTCTCCCAGGACCAACGAGCCCCCTCCAACCTTCATAGAGAGGTCCTTTTGAATTATTCTCACTACTCCCACTACAGCTGAGCTTCTGGGAATCCCATCCTGGATTCATCTCTCCCAACTCAACCCTACTGATCCTCCAGTGAACTTACTTCCACCCACCGCAAACTCAGGCCTTAGATGTTTCTCTCCAGTGAAACCCCCATTCTGCTTCCACTCTCGCTTTTAAGACCATCCTTTTTCAACTCCCTGCCTTATTGATGCAAATGAACTCTCTCAGGTAGGGACCATGCTTCATCCCTGAGCCAGCAAGAAGAAGTTACAGAAGAAAAGACCTCCATCCAAGTACCCCAATTTCTGAGTTCATTAAAATAAGAATATACATTTTAATCAAAGAAAGGGGGAGATGAAAGGATGGCTTTGCTAATGAACTATCTGACAGAAAAATATAAACCATCTAATTCGCTATCTCCAAAATTGATGGCAGGGACACTGGCCTTACACTTGCTGTTCTTGAGATTAATTACCTGTCTTTTAAGATTAACTAATTGCCTGAAGAGATGTTTACATAGCAATTAAAAGGAGCTGAGTAGACAAAAGGAAACATAAATTCTCCGCACCAGACCCGATTGGCTAGACTATGGATAAGAACATCTCCAGGTGAAAGGAAAAAAAGGGAGAGACAGCCACCAGGTGCCTCCTGTTAGCAGTCCAAAACAGGGGAAAAAAGCCATTTTCACCCTTTAAAAGAGCCTGAGCCACTTTTCCTCAGCTGCCAGCACTTCTCCCTACTTTCTTTCGGGTGTCATGCCGTCTTCCTTCTCTCCTTCTCTCTGTCTCTGTCTCTGTCTCTCTCGTTCTCTCTGAGAAAGCAAAATAAACATTTTACTTCTTTACATCCTAATCTTTGTGTGAGAATTCTTTCTGTACCCACGCTGTGAGCACCTAGTGAGCTCCCCACCCTTACAGTTGATCCAAATCCCACCCACATATCTCCTACTCCCTAGCAACCTTCTCGTTACAGTGACCATATGACTCCATTTTGTCCAAAAAGATGTCAGCAGAAGTCACTTGGAGGGGCTTCTGGGAAATCACTTTAAAAGGGGTAATCTTTCCATAAGGATGCCAGTCTTACTGAATTAGGGACCACACTTACAATCTCATGTAACCTTAATTACCTCCTTAACAATCCTATCTCAAAATACCATCACTTAGGAGGTAGGGCTTCAACATATGAATTTTGAGGGAACACAGTTCAGGTCCATAACAGGAGTGAATGGCAGAAAGAATGTCACAATGGGTGAAGTGGTAGGTAAGTTTCCGAGGGTGTGAGAGAAATAAAACCATCTGCTGAGGGTTCGAGAGGTAAGGATGGGGGTAAATTTTTATGACTGCTCTCATGGAAAATAGGAGATGGAGTGAATTAGAGACATTTAAAGGATTACTTAGTAGTGACAGAAGTCCATCTGATATCAAAAAATGATAAACAGTTCTGGCTCCAATGCATTCATTTGTGTGACTCTCCCAGTAGGTAGCTAGTGCCCTATGGCCTGCATGCAAAACCATGCAAACAAACAAAAGGACATACAGATAGGTTGATGCAGAGTTAAGGATTTACAGGATTTGAGAGAGAAGGAACTCTGTCAAACTGAAGTTAGGATGTGCGGAACAACAATGGTGTTATAAATGAATGTCTCTTTGTCACTATGAAGACAAGACATTCAGAGAGTTCACACTAGGTAGCCTCTACTTTTTCTGTGAAAATAGATGTGAAAACAGAGGTGGCAAATTGAAATAGAGGGCTTGAGAAGAATTGAGCTGTGAAACAGCAGCTAAAAAGAATCAGAAAAAGGCTTCACAAGGCATCTATGCTAAAATTGGCAAACGTTGCTAAGAGAATAATAGAGATCACGTCACTTGAATGGTTTCTGACAACAACGTGGATAAGTGTATGTCACCAGTTGAAATGGAGTGTAGAGTGTACCTAGTTCAATTTGTCCATAATCCAAGCTTTGCCGAGTAGGTTAAGTGCAGGAAAGTTGGCACAATGGAGTTGATGATGCTCCTGAGGGTCATGTCCAAAGAAATGGATGATGGATTCTAGGCTAGCGAGAGAAAGAAGTAAAACCAAGAAATGAATGATGGACCAAAAAAGGAAGCAAAAGCTAAAAGCCCAAAGACTAATTTATTTATCCACTTGAAAACTATATTTTTCTTTTTTTTAACAGCTTTTATTGGCTGTATAATTTAAAGGCCGTGTATTTTACCCACTTTAAGTGTAAAACTCAATGATTTCAGTAAATTTACAGAGCTGTACAACTATCACCACAGTGTAATTTTAGAATATTTCCATCCCTCCAAAAGATCCCTCATGTGCATTTGCAGTTGTTCCTTGATTTCACTTCAATCCTAGACAACCCTAATCTATTTTCTGTCTCTATAGATTTTCCTTTACTGGACGTTTTATATAAATGGATCAAACAATACGCACTCTTCTGTGTCTGTTTCCATTTAGCATAATGTTCTTGAGATTCATCCGAATTATCAGTATTTCATTTCTTTTCATTGCTGAATATTGTTCTAATGTGTGGCTATACCACTTTTGTTTATCCATACCTCAGTTGACAGACATTTGAGTTTTTTCCAGTTTTTGGCTATCGTGAATAACATTGCTGCAAAAATTCACGTGTAAGTTTTTGTGTGGACATTTCTCTTTCATAGATACCTAGGAGTAAAATTGCTGAGCCCTTTAGTAAATTTATATTTAAATTTGTAATTGCCAAACTGTTTTTCAAAGTGGCTGCACCATTCGTATTCTCATCAGTAATGCACATATATGAGGGTTCCAGTTTCTCCATATGCTCACCAACATCTGTTGTCTCTCTTTTTGGTTACAGCTATTCTAGTACTTACAGTATGGTATCTCATTTTAATTTGCATTTCCCTAGTGACTAATGATGTTGAATGTCTTTTTATGTGCTATTGGCCATTTGGATGTCTTCTTTGCTGAGATGTCTATTCAAATAATTTGCCCATTTTAAATTGGGTTATTTAACTTTTGTAATTGCTTCATTAAGAGTTCTTTATATATTCTAGATATGAGTTCTTTATCTACATATGATTTGCAAATATTTTCCTAGTCTGGGTCTGATCTTTTCATTTTCTTTCTTTTTTTCTTTTTTTTTTTTTTTGAAGGGGAAAACTGATATTTATTGAAGTCTTACATGGTTTGTTAGGTGGTTTACAAACATTCACCTTCACAATGTTTTATTGATCAGGCAATTGGGGTTAAGTAAATTAATTGCCAAGGTCTTTTCACTTTTTTAATGGTATCTTTTGAAGTGCAGAAATTTTAACTTTGTTTAAGTCCAATTTATCACTTTTTTTCTTTAATAGATTGTGTATATGGTGTTCTAGCTAAGAAATCTTTGTCTAACCCAAGATTACCAAGATTTTCTGTGTTTTCTTTCAAAAGTTTTCAAGAAAGCTCTTATATTTAAGTTTATGATATGTTTTGATTTAATTTTTATATAGAATATGAAGTAAGGGTTAATATTCATCACATTGCCTATGCCTATCCAGTTATCCCAGCATTATTTTGGAAAAGGCTATCTTTTCCCATTCAACTGACTTGGCACCTTTGTCAAAAATCAATTGATCGGCCGGGAGCGGTGGCTCACGCCTGTAATCCTAGCACTCTGGTAGGCCGAGGTGGGTGGATCGCTCAAGGTCAGGAGTTCGAGACCAGCCTGAGCAAGAGCGAGACCCCCATCTCTACCAAAAAATAGAAAGAAATGATCTGGACAACTAAAAATATATATATAGAAAAAATTAGCGGGGCATGGTGGCGCATGCCTGTAGTCCCAGCTACTTAGGAGGCTGAGGCAGTAGGATCGCTTGAGCCCAGGAGTTTGAGGTTGCTGTGAGCTAGGCTGACGCCACGGCACTCACTCTAGCCAGGGCAACAAAGCAAGACTCTGTCTCAAAAAAAAAAAGATCAATTGATCATAAATTGATTGCTGTAGTTGTGGAGTAAGTTTTATAACAGGAAGTATAAGTGCTCTAACTTTTTCCTTCTTTTTCAAGATGATTTTGGCCATAGTAGGTCTCTTAGATTTCCACACAAATTTTAGGATCAGCTATCAATTTCTGCAAAGGAGCCTGTGGGACTTTAATAGAGATTGCATTCAATCTATAGATCAACTTGGGAAGATAAAAACTATTTCTAAATTGTAGAAAAATGGAGTCAAGTAATCTGAATTCACAACTAGCTCCACTTCCTAATATCATAATCTGAGGCAAATTAATATTTCTAAATCTCGCTAAACTTCCGTTTCCCCTTCTTTAAAATGGGGCTAGTAATAATACCTGCTTTTACTTCAGAATCAAAAGACATATTTCCTGCTAAGCCAGTAACACAGTGCTCTGTGTTAGCTATTATTATCATATTGTCACTTCTTATTCCGTGCCAGGACCCATGTAGGCAGTAGGGAGAAAAAGAGTTACAAATTGAAGAATTCTCTGTGAAAGAGTGGGATTGCCCTGGGTACTGTGTTTTTCTTGCCCTGGGCGTGTGGGGAATAAGAAAGTCACCTCGGTGTCGGTGGGGGACAGGGAAGATGATCCAGGAAGGAAGACACCTGGAAGGGAAGATGACTGACTCTATCAGCTACCTTAAACCAAAAACAAACCAACAAACAGACAAATAAAAAACCAATGCCCGTGGCTTTATATTTATTTAATCAACATATGAACTCCCTACTCACTATTTGCAAGGAAAGATCGGAAGAGATGGCTATGCCCTCATTCCCCTTTTTTGTTGAGACTTTTTTCTCTTCAACGCTATGTTCATTTTTACTTGATTTCACAGAGTAACACTGTGCCTGCAGACGGATGGGGCTGGTGTTGTCTGACTCAGGCCCCATGGAGCAGCCCTGTGTTTTAGCCACCCCGAGACGGTTCTTGCTGATAAAACGATGCACATTGGCCCAACGGAACAATTGCTTCCCAGACGTTCTGCAGGGAACAGTGGGACGAACAGAAAGTCTTCAGCTCCCACGTGATTTTCTGGTGCTGGGGGCTGCCCATGAGCATCGCGTCCCTTTGCTGTCATCCCTTTGGTTTGCAGGCTCCCAGTGTGTCTGATTTTCAAGCTCGTAACCCACAGTGTCCTGATGTTTCCAGTTTCCTCCACCTCTGAGTCAGACAGCAGGATGGAGACAACCTCATTGCGCTCTGGCCCAGGCTCCTGAACAAAATGGTTCCATGTGTGGAGGCAGTGCCTGACTCGTCCCATTGGCCACGGCTTGTTCCAACTCTGCAGGGACTCTGAAAGAATGCATCAACAGACTTTCCCAGGTATCTAAAACACATTTTCAAAATGTCAAGTGACCCTTGATGACCAGCCTGCTGAATAACTACAGCGTTCCAGGGGTCCTTAGAGGGGGACAAGCCGAGGCCAAACTTTCCATGTGTGATCACCTCTCCACTGAGTCAGAAAGCTCCCTGCCGAGCTGGAGCAGCAACAGAACATGTAACTGGTCAGAGCGATCGGAGTTTCCCAATCACCATGCTCTGCCAAGACTCTGTTCCAAATTTTCTACTCTCAGAGGAACAGCCTGGGAATTTGGAAGTTCTTCACAGTGGTTTCGGGACGAGCTCCTCCCTCCCCATTTCCACCACCTCAGCCCTCGTGTTGGCTTCACCACCTGAGCTGCACCAGCCTGCTGCCTTCTCTGGGAGTTCTGCCTCCTTTCCCACCAGCCTGCACTTGACAACAGAATCTTCTTCTATTAGGATGTGTCTAACTTTCTCAGAACATGTGGTGATACTTGCTAGTGATGTGCAGAAGCTACTAATATCTTAAGCCAGCAACCAAGATCCTCAACCAACTGTTGAGCTGCCATCTTAATCCATTTACGTGGCGATGTGCAAAGTTAAGGCAAATACACATTCTTGATTGCTAGCTGGGTGTTTTGCCCCAATCAATATTATAGGCTCCTTGTGAACTAGAGCACACCTTCTTCTTAGACTATGGGTAGGAAAAGGTCCCCCCAAAATCAGACTCGGGGGGATATTTTTGCCTTCTTTTTCCTGGACTTTTCCAGGGAAGTATGCTTCCCACAGTTCCCTAGAAGACAGACTGCAGAATTCAAGAGAGACTGTGACACAATCTCAAGGGAGAAAGCTCAAAGAAAGAAAGAGAACACAACAGATAGAAACATGAGCTGTGGATCCTTCTGTTCATCCCATTAGATGTGCCAAACCTTAACACCGAGACTCACTAGCGTCCTTGCACTTGCCCATCCACACCAGCAATCCTCTCTCTGCAACGGTGAATTGGAGGTGAGAAGAGGCGAGGCCCCTTAGAAGTCAACAAATAGGAGAGACCCAAGTACAAGAATACATAAGGTTTACAGGAATACACAAGGTTTACAGAAAAGCTGATGGTCCTGATGGTCAAGGCAACTAATTGGTAGTTAACACGTAGACTGCCACACAAAAAAATCAGAAACTTTTCCTTGGGGCCACAGTGTTTTATTATGAAAATAGAATAAAAATTTTGAGTGTAATTGAAAAGTAAGCATAAATAGAAAAACAAAATTTATTGACTTCTATTCTTTAATCCACATTTTTAGAATTAAATTGTCAATGTTAATTGTAACAATAAGAACATCAACAAGTAATATTTATATATGCTTCACATGCCCCCGGGGTCAAAACTAGAGTGAGTCAAATACAACTTTCATGGCAGTTAATGTGTTAAATTAGAATAGGCATATGAACTCATGACCAAAGCTTATAAGCAGACTTAACATCAGAATTAATAGGCCAACTGGAGTCACTGTATATACAAAATGTAAAGATCAGTGCAAAACCAGACAACCAGAGGAGAGGGGAAAACCACATTCCATAGTTCAAAAAAATGTCCAAGGTCCAGAAATCTAGGGAAATAGCCAATACCTAGGACTAATATGAAAAATTCTCAGTAAGGCTTTTGAAGGTCTCTACTAACTGATTCCTCATTTAACTCAGAAGTCTGTGTCTCCTTTTAAAGATCTACGTACATTTGACCTCCAAGCTAATTTATATCCCAATCCACCCTTAACACCCTTAAACTATTCTTAATCATTTTACTCATTTCCCCTAACTAGAATTCCCACTCTACTTCTTTCTGAGAGATGCAGTGTCTTTCTCCTTTCAAGCTTTACTCAAAACTCACTCTTATATGAAAATATTCTCGTGCAAAACCCAGCAGTGAAAATGGTATTGGTGAAACCCTTGGCCCAAAGGTGGCAGTAAATAACTGTCCTTGTTTTATTTCTTGTCCTTCTTTTATTTCTTTCTTCTAAGTCATGTCTACAGCCCTGGCCAGGTGGGTCCACACCTTTCTACTCTATGCCGAGCATCCATGGAAAGGTTGCTTCTGACATGAGAGCTTTTCTGTTTTTAGGAAAGAAATTTTAGTCTCTATCTATAATTGAGTCAAGTTCCATGGAGAGTTTTCCACTCTGTGCTATCTAGATAAACAGCTCTCCTTAGACCCTTGGAATATCTAAACATACCTCATGAATTATTTTAGGAAGTAAGCCTAAGTGGATGGGCCTTGGGCTCCAATACTCACTTCAATGGGACCAATGTAAAATCCGTTTTCTATGTTCAGGCTATGTGTACATCAGTTAAAAGCAAGGTTGGGGCCGGGAGCGTTGGCTCACGCCCGTAATCCTAGCACTCTGAGAGGCCGAGGCGGGTGGATCGCTCAAGGTCAGGAGTTCAAGACCAGCCTGAGCAAGAGCAAGACCCCATCTCTACTAAAAAAATAGAAAGAAATGATCTGGACAACTAAAAATACATATGTAAAAAATTAGCCGGGCATGGTGGCACATGCCTGTAGTCCCGGCTACTCAGGAGGCTGTGGCAGAAGGATCGCTTGAGCCCAGGAGTTTGAGGTTGTTGTGAGCCAGGTTGACGCCACGGCACTCTAGCCCGGGCAACAGAGCAAGACTCTGTCTCAAAAAAAAAAGCAAGATTGGATATTCCTTTAAAATGATTGAAAACAACTAAGCCAGATATTTTTGTTTTTACGCATTAGTGGCAATGGCCCACAAAAGTGCTGGAAATGCACATACTGTAGGATTCTCATTCAATGTGAATGTACTCTGCTATGCTGAACGACTGATAGAAAATGCCTTTATAAAACGTACATGCCGCTTATAAAAATTTCCCTTAATGTTTAGCTGAGGTATTACGTTTCCTGTGTCTCTTGATATCCTATCTCCAACTCCAGCTAGGTCCGGTTCCCCTTCTCCGTATTCACATAGGACCACGTACTTATCAACAGTTGTGTTAGTTTGCTAAGGCTGCTAGAACAAAAGGCTGGGTGGCTTAAATAAAATTTGGTTTTCTCACAGTTCTGGAGGCTGGAAGTGCAAGATCAAGGTGCCAGCAGGTTTTCTTTCTTCTGAAGCTTCTCTCTTTGGCTTGCAAAGGATCGTCCTTCTGTGCACACATGTCCCTGGTGTCTCTTTGCGTGTCCAAAATCTTTCATCTTATAAGGACACCAGTCAGATTAAGGCTTGCCCCAACAACCTCATCTTAACTTGATAACCTCGTTAAAGACCCTATCTCTAAATATAGTCACATTTTGAGGTATTAGAGTTAGCAATTCAATATATGACTTTTGCAGGGACATGATTCAGCCTATAGCAATGGTTTATGGGAGCTATCTGTTTACATATTTCCTCCAACTCCATACCAATGCATTTGTTAATAATATATCTCCTGCACTTAGCACAGTGCCTGGCATATAGTAGGTCTGAATGAATGTTTGATAAATGTATGAGTGAATATACATATGTCTAATACAGTTGGGTCACTGAAGAGAGTTCTATTGATTTGCCTGGATTTAGGTAGAAGAATAAACCTTCTATATTGAGTATTAACTTAAAGACACTTGAAAATTTCTCAGAAGCTCATTATGATGGAATCTTTGTCTACAAAAATCAAAGATCCCTGAAGCTACTGCTAATGAGATTAAAATGCCAATTTACTGCTATACTATGATATATTCATTTTGTACTTTCCGGCTCCCTTCACATGTGAACTGCACTATCAGAACTGCTTAAAGAGTGAACAGTTAAATGGAACAGGCAGGAGCTTGGGAGCACAGAGTAAGACTAAATGAAAGATTTAGTGAGAGGAAGAGAAGAGTGCTTACTAACTGGATCAGCTGTTTTGTTGCCAAGGAGACAAAGTGAGATAAAAAGAAATCAGGGGCTGTGCGTAGAAACATCTGGATGGCAAATGAAAAATCAAGTCAATCTTCCCAGAAATTTGGTCTACACAAAACATCACTCCCCAATATCTGAAAACATTTGGAAAAGTGTCTGAATGCTTCGTCTTTCTCCTGTGTTTCTGTTGTGTGTTCAGGCAGTCAAGCCTCTCATACCCTGGACTCCCAGTGAGCCCAAGGCCTGAAAAACAGTGAATTACTAGCACCAAATGATCATAGCTGCTAACAGAACAAGGTTTTTGTGTATCTTGTGGCATTTCTAGCATACGGACGGTGGTATTAGAAGCAACAGTAAAACATATGTGGGGAGACGTATGTGCCTGTCACAAGCGTGTAGCTGTGCCAGAGACAGATCTATGACAGCAACAGAGGTAGAATTCCACCATAATGAACTCTGCAAGCCATCCTCCTATCCTTTTTGTATGGAGAAACTTGGTGAAAAAAAAAAAAAGAATGTTTATTTACCAAAGAAATGAAACAGCTTCCCGGATTCACTGCAGTGAATCAGCACGTGACAAGTTTCATGGGCCCAGCAGGGGAAGAACGAGATAGTCCACAAGCTTATGGCTTTCATCGTTTCCCCCTTCGAAAACTAAACTTTTTATGTGGTATCTTCGAGGGTTAGTGGTTTGGAAATTTAAGGGGTATTCTTTAAGTGACTGGAGCATTCCATGTAGGAGAATATGAAAAGAGATTAAGTGTAATCACTCTATGGTGACAGTATTATGTACCTACAAACAGGACTGCTCTAGCTTCTCTCAGCATAGACTCCTGCCCCACATGACAAAACTATGTGATAAGTGACACGATAAGGAAAAGAACAGGGTGTCAGTAGGGCACATGTAGGGACACTAAACCAGGACTAAAAGGACCAGGGGACTGTGGCAGCCAAGCTAAAACCTGAATCATAATAATATTAGCTAGCGCTTACTGAGCCAAACACAATTCTGCATGCT